GATAAACGATACACAACAATTTGTTAAAGTGCAATGATTAACCACTGATACTTTACGTTCCACGTTGGAACATTTTGATTTTAATTTTCTTTTGCATATCCATCCTGTAGGTCTTGTGAAGTTATGCTTTTTATCTCATCATACACCATTGAACCATTGAACCACCTACATGACATGCCTATACATCCTTCAGCCTATCGATTTGACAGTTATACAAAGGCCCCGGTAGAAATACGAGGATTTGTGGTGATTGTGTTGCAACTTGGGACCGTGTGATCATCAGTTGCTGTGAACGTTACCCGCGGAAATAACCGTCCCTTACTCGGACGCAACGCTATGGTTGCACTGGGAGTCACGCCGTCCCTAGCTCGTATGCGTATCATGGCAATTAACCTATCAGACCTACAGATACGGTAGCCGAAATTATTTGAACAAACAATAGGGCGCGCTCCGTCCTCCGTTCACCGCATATGTCTGAAGCAGGATGCTAAACCGGTAGCTATTGCACATCCACGTCCAATTCCTTTGGCCAGAAGAGAGGCTGTTTCGTCAGCATTACGGCAAATGATTGCAGATGATCTCATTGAACCCATTAACTGTTCTGAATGGGTCCACCCTATGGTTACAGTCCTCAAGAAGGACGGTACAGTAAGAATATGCAATGACCTGCAGGCCCTAAATCGGCAAATCGTGGTAGAAAAGTTTGTGCTTCCAACCGCGGATGAACTAATAGTTAAACTAGCTGGCGCCCGATATTTTTCAAAATATGACCTTAGGAAGGCTTTCTTTCACATGCCTCTAATTAAGGAGTCAAGACCGCTGACCACATTTCTCACTATGGACGGACTCATTCAGTACAAAGTCTTGCCAATGGGCTTGAGTTCAGCTCCAGCAGCTTGGCAAAAGTTTATGGTTCACTCATTTGCCAATTTACCTGATCAAATAGTATACATGGACGACATCTGTGTATTCGGTAGGACTCCAGAAGAACATGATTCACGACTGCATGCTGTGTTACGTCGACTACACGATCTTAACCTCAGATTAAACCTCGAGAAGTGCAAATTTAATGCTAGTGAGATCGAGTTCCTGGGCCACATTATAACAAATGACGGTATGAAGCCGAGTTTTGACAACGCGCGTGCCATCACCGAGGCTCCTTGCCCACAGAACTCCACTGAACTAAAGCATTTTCTAGGTATGTGTTCTTACAAGCTACGTTATCTGCAGGATTTCACAAATATTGCTGAGCCACTGCGTGAACTGACAAAGGAGAAAAGTGCATTTGTTTGGGGTCCACCCCAACAAAAGGCATTTGATGAGATAAAACGCCGCATTGCTTCCACACTAGTTATGGCGATTTCGACAAGACGTGCCCAACGATTGTCTCTACTGATGCATCAAACATTGGGTTGGGTGCTATACTATCTCAAATTCAATATGGGCATGAAAGAGTTATTGCATTCGCTTCCAGAAAATTGTCGGCGGCGGAGCTTTCTTACTCTGCCGGGGAAAAAGAAGCCCTTGCCTGTGTTTGGGCCTGTGAGAAGTGGAATCTGTTCTTGTTCGGAAGACCCTTCACTCTTCATACAGACCACGCAGCGCTAACTAGTTTACTTACTCGAGGAACAAATGGCATCAGGCCACTTCGGATACACCGCTGGTTTGCACGATTGTTACCGTACGATTTTCAAATTAAATTCCGTCCCGGACGCGAATACCAGGTAGCGGATGGGCTCTCTCGACTACCCCTCAAAGAAACTGAAAATAATGAGGATGATAATGAGAGATTACTGGTGTCTTCGCTGAGTAATGAACCAATTTTAGCCCTGACTAGGGAAGAACTCCAGAAGGCCACTCAGGAAGATGAGACACTCTGCCACGTTCAGGAGTATCTGCTAAACGGTTTGCCACAAAACAATAAGATCACAGGAGACTTTCGTCCGTACTACGTGTTGCGTCACGAACTTTCATTTATAGATGGGTGTTTAATGCGTGGCGAAAAGTTTGTGGCTCCTCGGAGCTTGATACAAAAGATCATGCTATGTGCTCACGAAGGCCACCCTGGTATCGTTCGTACGAAACGCAAGGTTGACGCATGTTTCTGGTGGCCCAAAATGTCACACGAAATAGAAAACCTTGTTCATGACTGCTCTTCATGTCAAAAGGCAGACAAGAGTTCAAGGCCGGTTTCATCCCCTATACAACCCATTGACTATCCTATGCGACCGTGGGCCAAGATAGCTGTTGACATCATGGGTCCATTTAGCTCAGCGCCTCAGCATCAGAGGAACTGTTTGGTAGCGACCTGCTTCTACAGTAAGTGGCCGGAAGTCCATTTGTGTGGAGAGGTGACTACTGCCAGCATTATTCGATGGCTGAAATATATGTTTTCCCGCTTCGGATTACCAGAGGAGATAGTGACGGACAATGGGCCGCAGTTTACAAGCCACGAGTTTCATTCGTTCCTTCAACTTCACGGTATCCGACATTCACGTACAACGCCGTATAATCCAGCGGCAAACGGCATGGTAGAGCGGTTCAATCGATCCTTGAAAGAGAGTATCCAAGCTATTCGCTTATCTGGTACAGGTTGGGAGGATGCAGTTCTACAAGCACTATTTTCTTACCGAACCGCACACCACCGAGCTACAGACAAAACGCCAGCTGAACTCATGCTTGGGCGTGTCCTTCGGACAAAGTTGAATGCCGCACTTCCTATTCCTGCAACCAATAATTCCGACGAGTTAGATCGCCGCCATGGATATCAGACCACTTACCAAAAGCATACTACTCCGCTCCAGCCCGGAACATTCGTGCGCGTGAAGGTAAACGCTGCATCAAAAGGACAACTCACGTTATCAGATCCGATAAGAATAATGCATGCATGTGGGCCAGGCACTTACCGGCTGGAGGATGGCCGCACAGTCAACGCCCGGAGATTATTCACAAGTATCAGACGAACGGGGCAAATACCACCAAACTTCACTGACGAGGCCACGCAAAGCACGCAGCTCTGCAGGACGAGCCGAGAACAAAGACGACCGTATCGTTTTTGACGCCTCATACGATTAAGCGGAGTGGTGATTTTGTGTATTCTGTCAGCTGTCTGGACGGCTAGTCTAGGCAGACACGTGCACACAACCCAGACACACACACACACACACACGAAGCGTCTAATTCTCTACTTCCTTATTGGTTCATCCTTCTCCTTGCGAAACCTTCATGTACTCACCCAGTTAGACATTGTTCAGATTACAGCAGTCCGTTTCCGAGAGTGACCTTTTCGTATACAACAGTCACAACTTATATCGTCCGGTTAGTAACCGCAATCATTAAAACTAACCTTCATCACTGCAACGTATACAAACTAAAAGTGCGTTTGTGTATAAAATGCGATATTATTTCAACTTGATACTATAAGCAAATCCTCAGCATTACGCCGGTACGCAGTACCGACGCTTCTCTGGCACGCAACTAGCTCCAGTCGCGCATGAGCTAAAGACACTAGGAGGATTGTTCGGTTCCTTATGTAGCGTTGAACCCACGATCTCAGGGTTAAAAGACAGTATTGCGACATTAATGCCACGGGCTGGATGGAAGTGTTAACTCCGGTTGCAAATCACCTCATCATATGAATCGCAAGAACTAATTTATTAATTAAGAATGATATTCCCGTTTATCCTTCTAAAGAAAAATATCAGAAGATGATTGCGGGAGGACAGGGTCAATTCGTTCAAATTTGTTGGCCACGTTCCATTGAACATCAAGAGACGCACATTCGTCATGGATTCAAATAAGACATTGCACTTACAACCAAAGCGTTCAATGGTGTAAATCAAAACTGTGATATGTAGAACCGACAACACCGTCGTCTCGCATACATAGACATTGGGCTCATACAAAGTCAAACGAACCTTCTACCGGATTGCGACACGGAATGATCAATGCTTACATGTTAAGATTTCCAGTCAATCCATCTAAAGCGCTCTTTACTTCGAACACTTTTTCCTAGAGCTTATACGATTTGCACCAAATAATAATAATAGAAAGAATTCCTTTTTGACGTGCTATAATCTATTGGTTATCTATTGCACATCATGCAGCGCTATTTTGAGGTAATGAAACAAGATTGAGAGTTGTAGGCTCAAGATAAAGCTTTCATTGAGTTGCTTTTCAATGGATACCGCAACGTGCGTGTCACAGTTAAAAGCTTAAGCCCTTTAATCAAAAGGAAATTCAGAGCAGTGGAATAACGCTTGCTATTGATCAACATACCAAAGCTTATGTGTTCAGTGAAGACACCGGTGTTGGATCAGCGCATGTCACATTGCTTATACAAATTCACATGTCGATGTGAAACAACTATGTTGGGCGCACTGATCGAAATCTAGGTGTTCGAGTCCTAAATATGTGCCAAATTGGAACCGCAAACGGCGGGAGCATGCGACGACTGCTGTCTGTGAATTGAAAAGCAAAGTTACGTCTTCAATTACAAGGCATTGATGAGCGCCGTTTACCAGGTAAAGCTAGATGAATCAATCACAGTTCTCATTTGCAGTCAACCTTCTTGTATAATCAAGCTGATCGAAAATATCGCTATCGATAGGCGGTGTCCATCACTCGGTTCAAAAACGGCTGACAGTGAAAATAAAACTAGCCTGGAGGCTTGAAACGCAACAAAGGAAAGGCAGATGACCATTAATTTATTTCATATGACATTGGTTTGCATCTCTTGTTAGTTGCATTTGTGTGGTTGATAAGTATGCGTGAAATGAAAATGTCATTTTGCAGTTTTTGTACTCTAATATTGTTATTTTACTTTGTAATTATTTTTGTGCCATCAGATTATGCTCGTAATTCAGAATTTTACATTTAGTTGCTCATTGACATATGTGGGGTTTAGTAGCGGTTTACATCCAGATGCTTGCCATCCATATTCTCTATTTATTAAGAACATCTGAATTTACATTACAACTTCTTACTTTTTAATTGTACAGATATCGATGCATATTACACAATCAACAGAACGGAGTCAAGCGGAACTTGCGATGAGTTTAAGCACACAGTAAGTGTCATGTGGCATTCTAACGTACCACAATCTAATGATTGTTTTATTCTATGATAGTTTGATTTAGTTCGACCTCGCTAAACCGGTTTTTCTTTATATTGGCTCAAAATATCTGTGGCGTTGGACGCTGCAAATATCAGTTTTATGGACTGCTCAGGTTCAACTTGTGCATTGTGTATATCCATCTCATTACTGGAAACTGCATACTTTGTTTACCCTACAGTGTACAAACCTTTTCATCCGAATTGGTATTTTTAAGAGCAGTGTTTATTTGCTTATAAATTGGAAACAATGCAAAATCAATAATGTGATAGCTATGAAGAAGGCTGTTCTGAATACCAAATCAGTTGGCAATTTCTGCTTAATTGGCATGTTGCCGTTGTGTTTGCTTATAGCACATAGTCACTGTCACTCGTCTGCTATCCAAGTAATTTCATTGTGTACCCAGCAAGCACTTTCTTATTGCTGCATGGAACGAGTCATTTAAAATGCAACAATATCGTGGAATTAAGCAAGCTTTTCTTTGTCACAATCACGATTAGTGATACAACGACTGAATTGTGACCATAAGCATTTTCGACATCAGGTTGTTTATGATTTCTAACTAGGTAGTAGCTTCGAAGTTAACCAGCAAGAATACCAATTATTCAGAAATGCGAAGCAATGAACCAACAGAAATAGTGGGCAAATTGTTGAGGGCAGGGACCATGGAAGCGCGAGACGTACAGGGAAAACGCAAGTAGTAATAATTTACATTCAATAAAGCCAAGGTGTTGTTTTAGAGTAAAGGACTGATAAATTAAACGTCGGTAGTAACTAAAGTGGTGCTTTTGAAATCAATTACAGTGACGGCTTAGGATAATGTTAATCAAATAGATTTTGCATAAAGCAAATTTCCGATAAGTGAAATGTAGCTTTGGTATTGCTACAAAACTCGTAACATATTTAAAGTTTATTGCACGAAGGTGCTTATTGCCTACATTTTATGCTTCTGAGTAGGGCGACAAATCGAGTCTGGATTTGCAGTTAGTGTATAGTGAAATTCTCCGAAGATATCACGGTTTGGCAGTGCATAATTTGACAGCAACAAAACGGCGAATGCCAAAACTAGATTAAAACTTAGCAGCGGGAACACAGTAACTGTTTTCTTCGACCACATTTTAAATGGTAGAAACTTGATATATTCAAGCTAGCGCTAAATCCTGAGTTCGTTTATTGGTGGCATTATCTGCTAATGTTTCGCTGACCAGACTAATTGCACCACGGTCGTAAACATCTTAAGCAAATATTTAATGTTTCAGCTATACCGGTACTAGATCGTACAAAATGTATTCCATTATAGCTTATCATTAAAACTCAAAGCAGCAAATTTCGCGGATTTTGAGTTATAAGTGGTTTATTTGAGGGATAATTTTGTTCGGCCTGTACTTCCATTTTCATTTCTTAACAACTTATTAATCATGCCTTATTCATATTCTGTTCTTGCCCCAGCTCCCGAAAAATGTTACGAGTAAATTTCTGTGTAGAAAAGCTGGCGAGGAAATGAGTCGTCGGGATGCAAATAGGACAGTTGTAAAGCTGGAACTGTACTTCGAGCGAACACAAAAAACTTCCGACGATAAATTAACACTACATTCCACCTATGCTTCGAAGTTAAGAAAATCGTATGAGAAATGCCTATATCCTGTTCAAATCAGGCCCGGAACTTCTTTCTATGGTAAGCCGTTCAACAATATCTTGTTATCCATTAGCATCCGTCCTTAACTCTACATCAGAGACTATGTGACGAGCACTGAAGTTCAGGTATTCATTCACACACAGAGAATACTTATCACTAGTAATGCAAAAATGTCCACTGAGAGAGTTACATAGTGTTAGTTACGTAGTAAAAGTGCCGAATTAACCTGTATATGATTTAGGAAATTAAAGTTAGCATTTGTATAGATGAATCATGATGTCACAGAAAGTGGTATGCTCAGCACCAGAGAAAAGTGGTTAGATAAACTGGGTGCGCATGTATTGAAAGATGTGGGTGACAATAAAAGCAACTGGCTTACGAATTGCTTCTGTACAAATAACACCGACTTGAGTTGGCGCAGACCGTAAACATCAGCAAAAATAGGCGGTGTTTACGGAATTCGCTCTGAAATTTGGCAGAAATGGAGTAGACTACATGGCAATACTTTTCAGTGTCCCCAGACTGTACTTCATCAGATGCGACCTGATATAGCAATTAGAATACCTTGCTTCAACTATGTTAAACCTCGTGATGCGCTCGTAAATCCTTTGAGACAGAAGCTTCGGAGTTTGACCGTCATATCATGTGGTATAAGAGCATGAGTATTTAGAGATGGGTTTTATTCAGTCAACGCGGCAGTCTAACTTTCAAAAGTGCTGCGATTGACGATTCCGCATGGTATACTATACACAAGCGGTCGCGAAATAGATCAATCCAACGGTTTCTTCCAGGCGTTTGCTAACGGTCTAAGCAACAGTGCTGCATTTGAATGATAAATACAAAAGAGTTTTCATCTTTATTTCGACCAAACTATATGGTCTGCTATTACACTTTTGTAGATGAGTTTATCTGTACACCCGATTTTTCCTAGTGCATGCCAGATGATGTGTTCTTCCTTACTAAAGGTATCCTGTGTGAAAATATTGCTCACCTGAAATAAAATATTGTGCACAAGATTTCGTCTGTAATGTAAGGGGACAGCACTGCTAAACTTGGTGCAATGCGCAGACTAAGCGTGCTTTCGCTACACTTTTCTGCAGAACGATACATCAGCGTTTCGGTAAATATCTACATCCAGAAATAATGGCCGTTTTACGAACTCGTGCTCACGTGCCAAAGTAACATTCTGTCGCCCTTCATTAGAATTTTTAACAGTCCCCGCCTGAGAATTGGATTTGAAGAAACAAAGGTGCCATAATTGAAGCATATATATATATATATATATTTGAACATACAGGCTGGAACAGGAAATATAATAAAATTTGTTTTTTAAAGCAGTCAGTTCCCTTCAGAAATTTGAAAAGCACGGTAACAAGGCGAAAACTGGTAGATGCATGCATTTCGTATTGTCTCTTCAGTACCATTAACAATAACCGGTTTGAAACTATATACTTAACTGTGCGTGTGGCCGAATAAGCAAGAGGTGAAAATGAATGACGAAAGTTCCACCCCCATGTCCACTGCAGTCTTAAGCTGACAAATAATTGCTTCTGAACACACAGGGCCGGCTTCATCCGGATTATCGCAGCGGCCTCGGTGAAACGGAGGAAGCGGGGATTAAGGTGACGTATTATAACTGTGAACGCTGATCCAAGCTCTATCCGGTGACGCGTAGTCAGTAGGTGTTTACCTATTGAGGAAGCTGGCGGCTTGCGCAAGCACGGAACTGCAGTGGGACAGGGATGTTGGTCAATTTCAGCTTGAACCTACCTTAGCACGTGTTCTTTTATTTGGGAAGTCAAAGACCGATTGGTTCTGCCTATGTAACTATCTCCGCAGTCGCACATGAATTTGTATATGCAGTGTGAGTTGGCCCCAATCGGTTGAGCTTCCTTCGTTGGAGGCACCGGCAAGTTACAGTTTCTATGGATGACCACAACCTGAGCAGCACAGTAACTTCTCTGCGTAGCAGAGAATACACGTTTCGCGGTTTTCAATACAGTGAAGTCACCCTTAAAAGGCAAATCGATATAGATCTTTTTCTTGGCTGCCTAATGCACCAAGTCTTTCGGGCCTCGCTGTTGGCTGTGTCTCTCTCTGTACATCTACGTGGATAGCCATTGGCAACGAGTGTTGTGATTAACTCTATTTCGTCAGCTAGAAAATCCGCCGTGCAAATTCGTCTAACACGACTAACTAAAGCTGGTGAAGTGCAGGTATTGGCCTGACCAGGTTGCGTTTCTGTACATAGACCTTCCAATGAGCCCGGCATCTCTGCGACTTGTGAGGATGTCTAAGAATGGCAGACAGTTCTTCTGTTCCACTTCGTAGGTGGCCCGCAAGTTGGTATGTGCGCAGTTGAGTTGCTGCATCAACTGGACAATCTGCTGCTCCCATGAACAAAAGGCCAATATGTCATCCACATAACATTTATAGTATGGTTACTGGGCTATTTCTGCGGGTATGCCTCTATCATCAGCATGAAGAAAGCGGCAAGTACACGGCCTAGTGAGATACCATTGCCACATTATCGATTTGACGATACGAGGTGTTCTGAAAGTGGAAGCCAGCATTTGCTGTGCACAGCAGTAAGGATGCCTTTAGAAATACGACTGGGTTTGGTAACGAATAACAAGATTGCTCTGCTAGGTCACAAATATAATCAACAGTTTGTTGTAGTGGGACGTTGGTGAATAGAGATTCCATTTCCAAGGAACACATGATCATATCGGAGAGGTTGATGTCATCTAAGACACTGATAAGTTGAAACGAATCTTTAAGACTATATGGATTGGACAGTTGTCGCAGAGGCGAAGGTTTATTCACTAGCCAGCGAGTCAATTTATGCTGCGGCGCATTTACCATTGATAGAATCAGCCTAATTTGTACTCCACTCTTGTGCGTTTTCGGTGACCCGTATAGCTGCGGAGTAGTGCTTCCACTTGGCTTCAAACAATTATAGGTGTCACTATCAATCACGCGATGAAGTAGAAGCATTTCAAGACGGGCAGCTATGCTAGCTTCAACGTCGGCTACTTTCTCCATTTTA